TCCTAAGAGCCAGTCTGACCCTGCCTTGGCACAGCTTGAGGCCATTCCCTCTTGGCCTGGTGCTTGTTCCTTGGCTCAAGAGACTCATCCCCCCTCTCTGCACCCTGCTTTCAGGGAGCTGTAGAGGGTGATGAGGTTTCCCCTCAGCCTCCTCTTCTCCAGAGTGAACAACCCCAGTTCCCTCAGCCGTTCCCCATCAGACCTGTGCTCCAGACCCTGCCCCAGCTCCGTTGCCCTTCTCTGGACATGCTTGAGTCATTTAATGGCCTTCTTGGAATGAGGGCTCAAAACTGAAACTTTGTTAGGGAGTCTGCTGGTGCCTCCTCCTCTGTCCAACAATCTGTGTCTGCTTCCATGAAAAAAGGGGGATGATGACCTGGTGGCATGAGAGGAAGACACCCAGTGTTTGTAAAAGATGAGGTGTTTGTAAAAGATGAGGAATGCAAGAAACCTCAATGAGAATGAGAATTAAAGAGTTCTTCCAAAAGCTGCCCTTGTGTGTCACGTCCTGACATTTTTCCTGGACACAGAGAATGTGCAATGTCCTCTTACTGTAAGCTCCTCTGAAATCCATCCCTTCAGGTGGGAGTGACATCCATTTCAGAGTGCACCATATGACAGCTTTTGGAGCGAGTTGCATTGAACTGGCAGGCCAGCAAGATGGAAACCTAGGAGTAGGAGCTCTTGAGCATGGTGGAGTCAAAAGCTATGGAACGACTGTCCCAGATGCCTTGGGTCTCGATGGGTGGCACAAGGTGCAGTACCTACAGCAGCATTGCCATAAAGAGATTCATTTGAGGGAACCTTTGGAAGGCAAAATGAAAGACTGCAGATATTTTGGGTTTATTCACTGCTGCATCAAAGCATTGAAGAAGCCCGAGTAGTAAGGCAGGGTTTAGTTTGTTTGTTTTTTTTTTCAGAATTGGTGTTGATATTGTTCCCCCCAACCTATAAATCTGGTATAAAACTCAGTGTGCCTTAGTGTCCTAGATAATTCAAGATCTGGTTCTAATTTTTTAATTATTTTTAAAAGGCTGTGCAGAATGTACCAAGACTGCAATAGATGTGTTGGTTCCATTTGCCTCTTTGTCAGATTACACTATTCTCTAGCACTTACTTAGCCTCTCACTTGAAATCCTCACTTGAACTCAGAAGTCTTGGGTGCAGAACATCTGGCCCTAGTTATGAATTTTTTTCTGATAGTGTTGGTCTTTCTTGTCAAAAAAGATTAATTTGGGATTAAAGATCCTCTTCCCATTCCTTTTGAAGGAGTGAGATGCAAAGGAATTTGCATGCATAACACTTTCTTTGCCTTCCTTAACTGCTCCCTTCTACCAAAAGGAAATCCACTGAATTTCCTGTGTTTTTCTCAAGCTTTCTGCTTCTGGTACATTGAAAATATTTATCTGATTTTTGCACCTGTAGCTGTATCCTTGTGGAACAGCATCAGGTATCTTTCCTTTGTATGACATTTGCTTTATTTGCTGTTCCTACTTACTGACCCCACTTGGGGCAGATTTCCAGATTTGTTTGCTTTGTTGCACAGACTCTTGGTCCTTCCACTTAATCTCTGATGATTTGCCTTGTGCCATCTTGATTCAGAGGTATTTTTATAATTTCTAGTGTTGCACTGATCTGTTCTTTATCCTGCAGCATTTGGGAGGTAACTGTTCCTGTGGCCATAGGCAGTTATTTCTGCATTGGTGGTGGCTGGCTTTCAAGCATTTTTCCTTGAGGTCTGTCAAACAAAGCAGCTCAGTGGCTACCCTTGTTAGTTGGTGCCTATATTTTGCCAGTAGTACTCATCTGCATTAAGTGCTATGTGGGTTAGAAAAGCAAGACTGCAACATCCATGAAGCTTCAGATATCATTCTCAGCACTTCAGAGCTGGTGGAATTTGTGTTTATATACAACCATGTCTGAGGCCTCGCAGCCATTGCACATGGCTTTGCCCTAACCTCAGCAACCATTGTCAGCTCTATTACAGAGAAAGTATTTTCAGGACTTGCTACAGGTATTATAATGATTGTGGAAGTGTCTACTGCATACGCAGGTCTTGCAGTGCAACCATATATAATTGCTTGAATGCCTCTGGTCAAACTGGCTCCAAGCATCATCAGTTCTTGGTGAAGATTCATGAAGCAGGAGCAACTGTGTTACAGTAAATTATCTAGTGCTCAGCTTGTGATTTAGATCGTGAACAGCTCACACGTTGTCCTTGTCCCCTTGGAGCTGCAGGGTTAACCAGGGCCATGGATTGACCCTGCACGGTGGAAGCAGAGGAGGGGGATTAAAATTACAGTTGCCATCAGAGGCAGCAGTGGGGCCCAAAAGTATCTGAATTAAGACATGAGTTACTAGTGTTCAAGGAGGTAAGCAGCAAGAAGGCCAAGCAGCAAGAAGGCATGACATGAAGTTATTGCAATGTCAGGAGCAAGAGAATGACAAGAGCTTTGGAGACAAGTAACAAAGCTGTGCTCATCAGCAACAGGAAGGTAAATGAAATTCAGCAACACTGTTCTCAAAGTCATGTAGCTGGAGGGAAAATGTAAACTGCATAAATACTTCTAGTCTTTGGCTTACTGTAACTGTACCAGGTCAGGCAAGAGCCCCGGGTGTTTCACTGAGGACATGATTAACATCTCGGTACAAGCTCAGTGTTGTTCAGTGGTGAACTACAGTCAGAAGAGCAGACAAGACATCAGGAGCCATGAAGTAATGCAGAGGAAGGCTCTATGCCTCCATGTAAGCCAGCGGTGCTCCCCCACCAGGCTGTTGCCTCCTTTTTCAGAACAAAGGATCAGAAGACAGTTGACCGTGCATAGAGATGGGCCCAAGCAAACTGTCAGGGTGGAAGTCCCCAAAATCTGGGATTTGTACCTCGAAGGAAATGAGTCAGGAGGGGATGAGGAAATAAGAAAAAAGGGATGTGATAAAAGGTGGTAAAATAATGACCATCAAAGAGACTGGAAGTCCCTCTTCTTTCAGCCTTTGTGACAGAGGATGAAAGCAGAAAGCTTTGAATTCAAAACTGATAAAGAGCAACCATTTTCACACAGTGAATAAGCAGGCCAAAGGACTGATGCCAGAGGAAGTCAGAGAGCACAAGATAACAGTGAGATTTAAAGACAGACCAGGCACACACCTGAGCAATGAGAACACCCAGGCTGGTAACAGGCAATGCTAAGAGTATTCCCTACAAGAGGAGAAAGTATCCCATTGTGTATGAGAAGAGAGAGCAAACCACTGCCAGGCACTGAGAGAATATGATAGGGTCCTGCTGAATACCTGATTGCCCCTTAGCCCCACTGGGCTAACCCACATTTTCTCTATCTCCAAAACATCTGGCAGAGAGAGGAGAATGAGACAGACAGATCATCCAACCTGAAGAAATTGCAGCATTATCATTTCCCTAGGAAGGTGCCTGGTATCAGCCTTATGTTGGTTCTGTTTCAGTATCTGAAATTGCATGGGACAGATGAAGAAGACAAGTCTAGCTTGCACCTCTGCTGCATTTCTCTCGGACTTGGTGGAGAAATGGGTATCATTTTCAGTAAAATGCATGGCTAGCTGAGTAGATAAAGAGCTGTGGAGTCCAGACATTTTCCCCAGTGTGGGCTAGTTGGGACTTTTGGGTGCTGCTCCACTGAGAATCTCTGAGTCTGAGGATCTCCGAGTGCATTCAGTACCTGTGTGCCTGTTGTGGTGGGAAGGTGAGAGCCACACAGCAAGAAGGCCTCTTCATCTGCCTGCTGAAATGACAAAGATCTGGCCTGGTAGGGAAGCCCTCTACTCAAGTCAAGGGAATCTTCCACCCTAAATTTTGAGGGCTTAATTTTTGTACCACTACCTCCTTGAGCAGCCATAGCCCGGTGACTCATATGGGAGAAGCTATGCATGACTCCCTTTACTAGCAAGGCTTTCTACTGGGGTGGCATGCAATGTCTGTTGAAAAGCAGTAAAACCGTCCTCCATGGCTGTTCGGAGAGGAGGTGAAGAGCATTCTCTGACTACATGAAACCTAATCACATCGAGGGTCTTGACAGATGGGACCTGGTGGACTCATGATTACATTACTAAGTACATCCTTAGCAGGAAGACAGTGGCAGAGAGCCCTAACATCAGTTGAAGATCTATCAGGAAAATGTGAGTACTAAAGGAATAAATGAATGAATGAACAGGGACAGCCAGACAGGAGAAAAAAAAAAAGGCTCTGAAGAACAGCTAAAAGGAGAGACTGAACCTGTGATTCTTTCTTCTCTAGTGGCACTTAATTTCCCTTTCCCCACTGTGAAAATGTCAGAAATGAACAGGCAACTTCAGTTAAACAGAACTGAAAGAAAAAGAGAAGGCAGCAAAGTCCTTAGAAGCTGCTTCACACAGGCAGAAGTACACCTGGTGCCATCAATAGGCGCTATCCTCCACAAGCACACGCAGGGGCCAGCAGGTTTTTTTGTCAGACGGATTTATTTTAGGTTGCAAAATTACTTTCTAATAAAATAAAATGCTCAAAATGTGTAACATGTGCAGTCCTCTGTGGGACCCCCTCTGCCACTGAACGAGTGCAAGGGCAGGGCAGTACAGGGGGAGGGAGAAGAAAGTCCGCAGCGGGGAGAGAACACCATCGGGCTGCAGGGGAGAAGGGTTCCAGATGTCTCCTGCATCTAAGTGTCCCACCGGTGGAAGGCTGTGAGAGAGGCCATGAAGGAGGGGCAAAGGGTGGGAGAGAGAAGTGGCACTGAAGCAGACAGTAGCTACTGGCTCAAATACTCCCAATAGCTCCGAAGCATCTGTGCTGCCTGGCACCTTACTGCAGCGGTGAGTCTTGCCTGTTTTGCAGCTTCCAGCCCCTCTGCAGGTGCAGAGCTCCCACAGCCTCCTGCTATGTACATCTCATCCCTAGCACCTCCTGAGAGTTCTGCATGGTGCCCATCCCTCTGCAGTGTGGCACACAGAGTTTCGTCCTCCCATGCAGACTGGGCCCGGTGCCCCTGCTCCCATCAGCACTCAGTTTGCTGGATCTTCTCTTTTGAGTTTTTCTCCAACTCCTTCTTCGCCACAGTGACTGCAACCATCTCTGCCAGCGCTGGGAAGGCAGGAGGCTGTGCCTGAAAGGGAAGAAAGGGGCAATATCAGGCATGTGAGGGAGACTGAATGGCACAAGTCTGGACTTCTCCCCACCGTGGAAGATATGGTCCTACTGCTTGCAGCCATGAGGCTCCCAACCCCTCCAGGGAAGAGCCTCAGTCCCATGCTCTGAGACCTGCAGTTTCTTCTGGGGAAGGCTGGTTCAACACTATTCTCTGTGGTGTCATGGGCATAACAAAGGCAGGACATGCTTAAGAGAGAGCAAAAAATGAACTGGGCAATGGTCAGGCCATTGTCAGGTTCAGTGGTGTGACAGATTTTACAAAAACTTTTCAGAGAGAATAATTAAAGGCATGAAGATTTGTGCAAAACAAGATGAGAACAAATTAAAGACAGAACTGCTTTCACATCTTGCTTTAACAAGTGATTCTCTAGACAGTGGAAAAGAGGTAGATCTCAGGGCTCCTGATAACAGTAAAGAATATGGTGACACACAAATAATCAGTAAAGCAAGAAAGATGAGATTGGTAAAAGAATGGCACAGTAGGCGTGATCTCAGCTAAGAGGGTGACAAATGATAAGCACAAGTCTTCAAAGATCAGTTGTGGGACCAATCATTAATGGCACAGAGTGTGAAAGTGCTAATGAGTTACGTAGCTGATGAAGTTGAGGATCCTCTTTTGGAAGAAAGATAATACAAATGTCACCCAAGATCCAGCTATTTTAGGAGAATGGAGCAGTGAACTGACAGGGTGAATGAAATGTAACAGTACCAACTGCACATTGGTAGGCTCAGGGGAACGCAAACAGGAATTCCTAATGTGTGGGCCCATCAGGAGAGACTGGTCAGCAGCCAGTGTTCAACCAGTGCAAGAAGAGTGAATGTAATCTCAGAGAATGCCAACAGGAAAAGGGAGAGAACAAGAGAAGAGCTAATATCTTTGCTCAAGGCACCTCATCGGCACTCTCACCAAGGATGAGCCCACCGGGGAGACTGCGGAGAAGGGCATGAGGACCTGTGCTGCAACAGAAGAGCTTTGCTTGCTTGGCAAAGCAAGGCGGTGAGGGCATGTACAAATGCTTTGATCTCCTGGCTGGATTAGAACTGTTTGAGCTAAAGGCTGGACACCCAGCTACCCTATTTCCTGCTAGCTGAGGCGTTACAGTTACACTGTTAAAGGGGTTCCTGTCCAAGGTTTTGGGCCAGAAAGGGTGGTTCTGACTGGACTTGCACAGTCTAGAGAGTCACTCAGAAACTGTAGGTTTCTGCATCATCTTATCCTTCACCATCAGTGCTAATTAAGGACTGATGATGAAGAACCAGTCACAAGTCGGTCTAGTCCTACCCACAGTGTTTTTTTAAAAACACCCATCTTGCTTTTGTTCTGATACTGCCTGTCTTGAGCCTCCAGCCACTAGGTTTTGCTAAGAATTTGCATCAGTGCTGTCACATCCTTCATCTTCAGCTCAAGGCAGGTTCAAGGCACCCAGCTCTTTCACCAGGGAAAACTCCCAACCTGAGATCACCCTGAGCCCTGACCCCTTCTGCACTGGAAGGGGATTTTCACTGTGAGCCCTTTCCAAGAAGCTAAGTAGAAGGCAGCTACATCACAGCTACTCACGAAAGGTGTGTCTTGTTGGCAAAAGGTAACCCTGAAGGAAGAATTTGCCATGTAATTCATTTGCAGAGAAACAGTATGAACACTGCAGAGAAATGGTCTGACTTGTTTGCACAGTTTGTTTCAGTGGCATGCTGGGGAGGGATCAGTCCTGGCCTGGTTTCTGGGATCATAAGGGCAAGGCAGAGTTTTCAGAAGGTGAGAGATCCTGGAACAAGGTGAGCAAACGAAGGGCAATAAGCTGCCAGAAGAAGACAGCCGAGGTGTGAGGGCTGAGCCAGCAGAACTGCATTGAGATCAGCGTCTGGGGACCAGGAGACATTTGTATGGAACAGGAGACTGTTACATCAAAGCATCCAGGTAAGGAATAAGAGCGAGGACACCTACGAAAGCTTGGAAATTATCCCTCCTCTTACAGCATGGCTTGATCTCTGGGAGAATAAACAAGAAACTCTTCAAGGCTGAGCTGTGATTGTCTCCTAGGGGGCTTTACCCCTCCTTAGAAGTGTCTGACCTGCCCCCAGACAAATACCACAGTTAGGCAGACCTGCTGATGCCAGGGTACAGCTTTCACTACATGTACATGACAGCAAGCTGCCTGAGCCCCATTCTTCCTCTGGCTGCTGTGCCCCTGAGACATTTCACTGCTGTCTCTAGGGTACCGTGGGGAAGGTCAAATAAAGGTGGATGTACAGGAAAAATAACAGAAATGGTATGATGGGCACTTACCCTTTTTTTTAGGGCCAGAGCCAGAACACAGACCGTAAGCAGGAGGAAAAGGGTGAGTGTGAGCCCAAAAGTCGCCTGTCCACTGAAGATGATGGGCGGGCTGGAAATCTGTGCACCTGTGAGGAGGAACCATGGTTAAGAACAAGGGGAAGGTCAAGTTTGCACTGGATCAAGGCTGGGATTGCACAAAGAAAGGCAAACTGGGAAAGGGTGAAGGGAACTGGAAGGAGCAACAGGAGGAACTGGTGAGAGCTAAGACAGGATGACAACAAGATGGGATCTGAGCAGTCAAAGGGGTGAAGGGTGGTGAGGCTGGAAGAGGAAAGGGAATTGAATAGGGTGAGAAGAAGGGATCAGTTATAGATCCATGGGACACGGTACCTGTGATCTGCAGCCCATACTCCACTGCTCCCAGTCTGCCTTCTGGGCCATGTACACTGCACTCCCATGTGCCCGTATCCTTTTGTGACACATGGGGAATTTCCAAAGTAGGGCCCATGTGGGGTCTCTGGCCCTCCATGTTATGGGAGGCAGCCACAGCCAGCTTGCTGTTAGTAGGGGATGAGTTGAGGTGCTTCCACTGGAAATGTTCATGTCCCCGGGGATGTGTGAGGCTGCAGATGAGCAGCAAGCGAGATCCCTCAGAAACTGGTCCTTGGATGCTTGGAGTCACTACAGCACAGGAAAAAAATTACTCTCAGAAAAGGCTACAGGCAGATCCACATCTCCTTCTCATCCCTCCTTCTTCTATTACAATCCTCCTTTATTGCTTTCTCTAATTTATTTTATCTTCCACTGTCTTAAGAAGAGTAAGCTACCCAGGAAAACCCCTGCTTTCAGCAGAGTCCAGGGCAGTGCAATGCCCTGAATAGAGACCTTGTTTCCCACCCTGGGAGCAGGAGCAACTCACGCTCACTGCACTGATGTTTATCTGATGTTTATCTGCAAGCAGTGGGGGACTCCAAAAGGGTGATGCACCTCCTTGTGTCTCCTCTCACCTGTAACCACTGCCAAGGTCACGTCCCTGCTGATTGTCTTGCTGCCAACAGAGACAGTACAGCGGTACTGCCCTGCATCATCTGTCCCCACCACAGGGAGACGAAGGTGGAAGCTTCTGCTACTCGAATTCTGGGAGATGCCCCTGTCTTGCAAGTGTCCTCCTGCGGGGCGGCTCCAGTGGGCTGTCACCACATTGATCCCAAGGGCACTGGGAAGGTAGCTCAGGGTGCACAGTAGATCAGCTGCAGAGCCAGCTGCAGCATAGACCACAGGGTTGGTTGGGCCATCAAAACCTGAGCCAGAGAGAGAAGACAGCGTTGGGTGGTGGTTGGAAAGAGTTCTGCAGGGAGGTGACTGGCTTGGGAAGCGAGGACAGGGTGGGAGCTGGGGAGCTGGAGCCACTGGAGTTGGTCAGTCACACTAAAGGGAGCAATTTGGGGATGCTTGAGTAGCAACACGAGGCTGAGCTCACCTAGAATTTGCAGGTTGTATGTGGCAGAAATGATCTCATTATCAGAGTATATGAGCTGGCAGCGCCAGGAGCCAGCATCACTCATGGCAGTATGGAGGATAGAGAGAGCCCCATGCGAGGAACAGAAGGACCCAGAGGTGGGGACTGAGCGCCCGTTGTGGAACCAGCGAGTCTCCACGAGTCTGGCCCGGTGGCTAGAGTTGCAGCTCAACAAGAGCGGCTCATTTTCTACTGCAGGGCTGGGTGGACTGAGGGTTACTGCAAGAAAAAGAAAGTGGTGGGTGTGTGTGTGTGAAACCTAAGATCACAGGGGGACTACCAAACCATCCCTTTGTGCCCTTCCTGTCCCAGCTTTGTCCCTCAGGCAGTCTTCTCTCCAGAGCTGAGAGAAGACAGCAGGAAGCTGTGCACTTTCAGGGGGCTGCTGCCTGTACAACAACCTGCCCTGGCAAACACATCATCCCCACCCCGTCCCACCCTTACCACCTCCCCAGACCTAAAATCAACATTCTCTAGGGTTTCCATCTTCTCCTACCTGTAATTACCCCCAGCTCGACCTGGCAGATCTGGACCTCCATGTTGTATGTCACCTGTGCCTCATACAGCCCGGCATCCTCGCTCCAGACCGGGTCGATTTGCAGGGAGAAATTGCCTTGGCGTAAGGCAGAGTCCTGGACTGACACTCGGGCCCTCATGGGCAGCGCTGTCTTCCGGAGGCCCGAGTACCCCACCTCCAGCACCATGTGTGGCTCCTGGTGGGCACTGGGAGTGGGACAAGTGAGCAGTTTGGGCTGGAGGCAAAGGTGAGATCAAGGGATGGGGGGGAAGGAAGGAGGGAATGTGGGGAAGGAGAAAGGGTGCTTAAAGTGTCTCTCTCCCACCCTCCCCAGTTCCCCAACAAGGACACAGATCTGTCCTGGCCTTGGCATACCTTCCCCCATGCCGCTTCCACAGCACAGATGTCTTGTCAGGCTGATGCTTCCAGCTCTTCCCCATCTTTCTGGGGCTCAGGTGGCAAGGCAGCATGGCTGAACTCCCTGCTCTGGCCCACACTTTCTGCTCCTCTGCTACTCCTGGTAGGATGAGGCCAGCTGTAACGAGACAGAGGGTTGAGCAAAGGGTGGGGCTTATAGAGCAGAGGGCAATATCTGCCCATCTTCAGTGGGGTTAGAAGGGCACAAATTCTCCCTTTCAGACCTGACAGGGACCAGCTAACACCCAGTCTCATTTTACTGAGCTACTCTGCCCTCCCTGATATGTTCAGCCCCTCTTACCATTGAAAGACAGCAGAGTGAAGGTGAGGAACAGCACCAGGGACACTGGCCTCATGGTGGCATCCAGGAGAGGTGAGGGGCTGCGTCTTCTCGCTTGGGTCTGAGCTTGATCAGTCCAGAGCTTGAAGAGATCAGCAGAAATGAGGTGTGGGCAAAGAAGATGTTAGAGTGAGGGATGAGCCAAGGTGGGTCGGCTGGACATGCTTGCCCTCATGCAGTCTCTCTGATCAGAGTATTTTCCTAGATGCCCTTATATCGCAGGTGGGCAGCTAATTTCCTCGTATCACTAAGAAGATGCGTCATGACAGAGAAACCAGTATAATTCTGAGGCACGTGAAGGCAGAGCTGAAGCCAGTGAGAGAGGAGGGAGGGACCAGAGACACCACTCTAAGCATCTTTTAGTGGAAATTCTTTGGGTCGCTGTTGTTTTTCTCACAAGTTTCGCTACTACATAGACAGTGGAAAAAGTGTAGAAGACACTTCCCAGCAAGTGCCCTTCATGTTTTTCTTTCATCTCTTACCTTTTTTGGTTTGATCTTTCTGTCTTTTACAGTTTCTCTTTAATTTTTTCAGGGCTTTTGAGAACATGTTGGACATTTTTCTTCTTTTCTTTTCTTTTCTTTTCTTTTCTTTTCTTTTCTTTTCTTTTCTTTTCTTTTCTTTTCTTTTCTTTTCTTTCTTTTCTTTTCTTTTCTTTTCTTTTCTTTTCTTTTCTTTTCTTTTCTTTTCTTTTCTTTTCTTTTCTTTTCTTTTCTTTTCTTTTCTTTCCCTTCTTTAATACTTCAAATGTGCTGACTTCTGGGCTTTTTCTCACTGGCCAGCTCACAGGCAGCATGATGAAAGGCTCCAACCAGGGCACATGTCAACCATCAATCCAGAGTCTGGGGGGAATACAGGACAAAGATGAGGTGGTCCGAGGAGACAGAGAGGAGCATCCAGGAGAAGTAACCAGTACTGAAAAGAGGGGCTGCATGCTGTGGCATTGCAAGGGGTGTGAGGAAAAGATCCTCCTTCTCCAGCAGTGCTGGGGAAAACCCACCCGAGCTTGGGTGCTGAGGGGGCTCATCCTAGCCCCTGTGTAGCTGCTGAACTTTGAATACGGCAATACATTTCCATCCGTGTGCCTCATTCTGGGGCCCCTTTTGCCTCAGAGAACCCCCACTGCTGTGGCTCATACTTTCCAATAACCCACTGGCTCTGACTCTTTTGGACTTAATCAGCCCTTCATGATTGGTGTCAGACACCCAAGCCCCTCTGCGGCTCATCCCCTGATGGCAGGGCTGGGGCTTTTCCTGGGGGTGAGGGAAGGGAGGTGACTCAGAGCAGCTGCTTCTTCACTGTGGAAGAATCCTTGCTCACTCTCTAGTTTTTCTCAGCTGGGTTGGTGAAGGTAGAAGATAAAAGAGAGCAAGTGGTACGCCTCGCTTTGGCAGCTCCCTGTTCTGGTGACAGCTCTTGTCTCTTTTATCACACATGGCTCTTCAGCCTCCTAAGGAGTGGGATCAGTGTATGGGAACCTGGTGCAACCTCCTGTCCCTCGACGTCCCTGGGGGACTGCTTTGTAGTGGTCCTTTGTGCCCTCTGTGTTACACAGTCATGGGATCACATGAGAGAGGAAGAGAGGAGAGAAGATGGGGGAGAACTTGTGACAGCTGGTAGGAGGTGTTTTTTCCTCCTGTTCAAGAAAAACAGTTTGTGGTGCCCAGTCCAAGTAGAAAACATCAACCTCTCTTTCCCCTGAATCAGCAGTGCGAGAATGGTGTGAGTGTGTGGGTGAAGATAAGAAGGGAGATGGAACTGTGGTGTGGAGACACGTACGACTCCTCAGCCTTGCATCACCTACTCCCCCTCCCCTGGCTTCACCCAAGGGACGTGCCAAGCTCGCTGGTCTCCCCCTCCTGCATTCAGCATTCAGCAGGGGCACCCTGGCACTATTTCTCTCTAGTCACCAAAACTACCTTTAACTGAATCTGTGCTCTAGGAAGTGCTTGTTTCTTGTAAGACCCAGCACAGGAGAGAGACGTATCCCCATCCGCCCCACCCCAGCGGCAGTCAAGAGGGGGTGATGTGACAGGAGGTGTCTGGGCACTGGGGGACATCTGGGGCGAGGGGTTATTACGCCGAGTGAGCATGTTGTGAAATGAAAGTTTTGGAGGCACTGTTTTACTCAGCACCAGGCTATCTTTAGCGAAGAAAGACACCTATGACGTTTTTCTCTAATGACCCATTTTAAATGCTGACTCCCTTGAATGGCATTTTCATCATCTCCCAGAACAGGACCTCGCCACAGAAATAACAGTGACTGAAGCAAGGTCAGCATGGGGGCATCTTCTCAGAACCACCTGTGTGCATCCCTGAGGCAGAGCCGCTGACAGGGATGTGTGGGACTCTGGCAGAGCCATGGGGAATGAGGTAGGCTATGACAACAGTAGCCCAGGACAGGGATACAGAAGCCCATCTCACTAAATACTCCTTTGTCCATGTTAGGCATTAGCTAGCTTCAGCCAAGGTTCCAGATTTACCCGCAGCACTCACCCTGCACACAACCTTAATACATTGCTTTTCTTGTCTCTCTTGGCATGTCTTACGGGTGCAAACTACGCTTACCAAGAAAAATAGGAATAGAAAACACTATTCTGCAGTATCATTGAGTTAGTCTTGCTGAAGAAATTTTCCATTGCGTTTCCAGATTTCTGTGATACCATGTTTTTCTCAAAGTGTTTCCGCTTTCATGTTCTGGTCCTTGCAGCATCAAGTCTGAAGCTAGTCACAATCTTCTGCTTTATGCTGGCTTTTTGAGGGGCTTCATGATTTATTTGCAGACTTTAACCAACCTTAGAAATTGTGCTGTGACTTGAAGACTGGGTTATCAGCCGTGCAACTTCAGATGGTATGGGTGTTCCTGAGATAGAGTGCTCACCAAAATGACCTCATGTAAATATCCTGATTGCTGTTTGCCCAGAACTAAAGCAAACATAACAAGCAAAAAGAAGTTACTAATAAGAGATAACTCATAACTTTGTAGCAAGGGACTGTAAACAGAAAGCAGCCACGCCTGGGGAGGCAAAAGGGAAGGTCTGGCAGGGGACGTAGTGTGAGCAAAAACTGCCGGGCAGGGTGGTACTCGACAGGTACCACGGTTTTCAGGGGTCAGACTGGGATTAACTGAGAGGCTTCTGGCACTGACTGGGGAGCTCAGGGAGCTAAAAGAGATCTAAATTCAGCTCCAGAGGGGAAGTAGTGGAAATGCCCTTCCCTGGGCATGCAGAACAGAGGCAGTGGTTCGCAAGTCAACACGTTCTGGCTGCAGAGGGGCCAAGCATCAGAATACTAAACCAGAAAATGCTGGTGCCCATGGCTTGGCAGGCTTTGAGTGAGATGCACAATGTGGAAGTGTGTTGAAATAGGCACCCCTGAGGAAGAGGGATGCAAGCCACTCTTCCCCCACAAAGGGCTGTGATGGTTTCTGCCAAGGTGCCAACCTCAGATACATTCTGTATATGAAATTGCTCAGCTTCTCTAAGTCCAGGGTGGGTACCAAACATGCTTCCTTTCTCGTGGGAGGAAGCGGCTGCTCCAGACTTCTGTCCCTCTGTGATGCCTGGAAGCAGCATGTTATCTTCCCAGGGCCAGGGTATGCCACGCATCAAAGAGTGGTCTTGGAGGAGGGACCCATTAATCTGAGGTGACGCATCCCAAAAAGGGGTGAGGAGAAGAGGATTAGAAAAGAAAAAGTTAATGTGTCCCAATAGATCTAAGAAAAAAACAAAATGTGCCTCTGCAGAAGTGCTAGCAGGAAGGAGAGTGGCTGCCTGCCTGACATTTATTGGGAAGCTCTTCTAAAAAGGTCTTTTTTATAGGATTTGCTGAATGGGCAGGGCCTGAGTCACCACAGGTCTCTGATGTGGAGCTGAGTTGAGTCTAGCGGTGGTCTGCTTCCCCAGATCACATGGGAACACCTTTAGGAAAGCATAGCTTTATGAAGTCTTAGGACAAATCTGCAGCCTCTTTCTTTATGGTGCTAGAAGGTGAGTGACCTTTGTATGACAATCCTCAGCAGATAGCTGAATATCCCAGAGAAACCTGAATTAGAAAGTCAGGAACAACACTGGGGGGTGCTGACTGAAGCTGTGGGCCGCATTTCTGCTAAAAAACCCACAGTGATTTAATCACTGAAGAGAATCTGCAGCATTCATGGGCATTTTTGGCAGCTAGCATCTTGTATCTGGCCAGCATTAGCTGGAGAGAAGTGTGTAACTGTTCTCTTTCAAAAGGCTTCCAGATCCCTCGTGGTGAGGAGACGCAATGCTGCAGGACGCTCTTTGGACATCCACAGCTACCTGTGGAGATGGTGGTGGATATTCGGTACCTCAGCCAATACGTTGTTAAGTGGTGTCTTTGATGCTGCAGGATGTCTTTGATACTGCAGCCTCTGTATTTTGCAACACAAAGGGTGAGGTGGATCAACAACAAAAATCCATGCAGCACGCTAGGTTACATTTTGACTTGGTTCTCATTGCAGTGTTCATGCCATGCTTTTAATCCACTGGAAAAATATGCAATAGCCCAAACATCCCAGGGCTGCAGTGAGTTTTCTCAAGAGCAAAGAGGTACCCAGGAGCCCAATGCATGCAAGGGATGGGAGAAGCATGTCAGCTGTGAGGAGGAAGCTCACAGTGACCTGACACTGAGGTGAAGGAGTCGGGCACTGACCCGTTGTGCCACGTGTTGCTGAGTGACTGCAGCAGTAGCAGAATGATCTTAGAAGATTCCTGCGGCAGGCAGAGGAAGCAAGCAGCCGATTCAATGTGAATGCTAGAGCAAGCTTCAACTGTATTGAAAGAAATCACACCTTATATAAGCACTCTACAATAATCATGCATACTACTCACACATCTATTGGATACATGTAAAAAGGCTACATTATAATATGCCCCTTGGGGCATTTCAGGTATGCATAAACATCTTCCCTCTTCTGAACCTGTTTTACTCCCAGAGCTGTTTTTCTATCACCCCCAAGGTCATAATGTATCTCAGTTTCTCTCTGTGTTAAAATAACAGTCCTTTGTTAGCATAACTGTA